CTTTTCTTGTGTTCTCATCTTTTTAATGACCTCTTGCTTTCTTCATGGCCAATGTTCTTGATATCCTCCCACAATTCTTCTGGCTTTCGGTCATTGGTGTCCAATCCATCAAATCTATTCTTTAGATGATGTCTAAATTCAGGAGGGATATATCCCAGGTCATATTTTGGCTCTTATGGACTTTGTTTAACTGTCTTCAACTTCATGTTGAACTTATATATGAACACTTGATAGTCTGTTTCACAGTCAGCTCCTGCTTTTGTTTTGGCTGAAGATATTAAGCTTTTAATGTGCTTCCAAAGACTTCTCCAAAAGAGTCAAAAGGGTACCTAAAAACTGGGGAAAAATAGTCACAAATGACGTATTTGACAAGAGACTTATCTCTAGAATTTATCGAAAACTCCAACATCTCAACAGCAATAAGACAAATAATCCAATTTGAAAAATGGGCAGAAGACATGAATAGATACTTCACCAAAGAGACTATTCAGGTGGCCAAAAAACATATATTAAGAAATGTTTACCATTGTTAGTTATTAGAGAGATGCAAATCAAAACAACAATGAGATACCATCTTGCCCCATCATTGGTAGCAAAGTTCAACAAGACAGAAAATAACAAATGCTGGCAAGGGTGCAGAGAGATTGGAACTCTCAAACACTGCTGGTGGGATTGTCAAATGGTACAACCAGTGTGGAAAACAGTATGGGAATTCCTTAAAAAACTTGGATTAGAAATTTCATTTGACCCAACAATCCCATTACTAGGTATATATCCTAAAGAAGTGAGAGGGCAAGAATAGATATATCCACACCCATATTCGTGTTCAGCACTATTTATAGTAGCCAAAAGATGGGAACAACCTAAGTGCCCATCAACAGAAAAATGGATAACCAAACTATGGTACATACACACAATGGAATACTATGCAACAATAAAGAATCTACAAAACACTGCAAAACATGGATGAACTTGGAGGACATTGAGCTGAGTGAAATAAGTCAATCACAGAAGGACAAATATTGTATTACTCTGTTATGTAAAAAGTCGAGGAAAGGTTTATATGTGGAAGGAAATTTTCTTTGTTGGTTACTAGGGGTGGGATGGGAGGGGAGGGAACACTACTCGATAGGTAGAGATAGGTATTGACTTGTGTGAATATAAGGGCAATGTCTCAAATGTGAGTGATCAACAAGGTGGCATTGAAGAAGAGGAAGACAAAGAGAGTGCATAGGAGGTACAGATAACAAAAATGAACTCTTTTACACATACAGTACTGAACTGTCAGGGAAGGTAAACACTGATATAGGGGTGGATAGATGCGTGGACAGGCTGAACTGTTATGTATGTCTATGAAAGGGGGAGTGTGCCCAAGACCATGTATAGGGTTGGCAGACAATGTTTCTCCAACTGTATTTGTATGTTCTGTAAGAATTCTCAGGTATATAGTAGAGATGAGAAGAGGCAAGGTTATTATCACTTCTTGACCACAGCCAGCTACCCAGAGGGAGTAAGTAGTTAGAACTGTGGGCTCAGGACCATAGTCACAGGGGACATCAAGCTCAATTGGCCTAATATACCAAAAAAAAAAAAAAAAAAAATTATTTCACGTCCTACCTTGGCGAATAACAACTGGGATCTTAAAAACTTGTAAGTGACCATCTAGATGCAATGATGGGTCTCTCCCCATTCAGAGCAAAGAAGAATGAAGAAAACCAAACACACATGGAAACAATTAGTCCAAGCAATCGGTACAGCATGTGATCCACAGCCTATATGACTTTGCAAACAGAAGAACTAGATGATGCCCAGCTACCACTGTCAACCACTTGGAGGGGGATCTATGTAGGAGATCCTGGACAGAGTGGGAGACAATGTAAAACAAAACTCAAAATCATTTTTTAAAAAACAAAAATGACCAGGTTTGCTGGTCTGATAGAGCTTGATGGAACTACTGAGACTATGGCCCCTAGCTGCCCTTCAAGTCTGGAATTGAATTCACTCCTGTGGCTTCTAGACAAAGGAAAGACAGGCATATGAGCTGAACATTTACATTAGGTAGAAACACTCCTTGGAGAGAACAATCATGGGAGAATAGAAGGGCTGAGTATGCACAAGGAGACACCTCAGGGGGCAAGAATGCATGGGAGGGAAGGACACAGGAAAGCAGTAGCTAGGGGGAGGAAGTGCAAGGGGAGCTGTTGCATTGTGGGAAATTGTAGTCAATGTCATGAGACAAAGTGTATATGAGCTGCTGTATGGAAAGTGAATTTTCTCTGTAAATTTTCACCCAAATCACAGTAAAAATAAAAAAGAAAGAAAGAAGAAAAAAAAAGAATCTGCTATGGGATTTTTTTAAGAGAGAGAAAAATATATATAAAGAATAAATGTACCATGGAAACTATAACTATTGTTATACTGAAATTAAACCAATAAAAAGTACATTCCCAAAATCTTTCTTGAATTTCAATGTACATTTCTAACTCAATCACCATGAGACCTTCAAATTAATAATAATTCCAGCAACATTTAATTTAGAAGTTTAAATGAAACTTACATTAAGAACTGCGATCCCCTTACAACTTTAAATAATAATAAAAATGCCAATCTTTCTTAGTCTGGTATAACATTGAATAGAAAGTAAGTAGAAGAAAATCAGTTGAAACTTAGGCTCTTTTCCAATCATACATAAATTAGGTTTTAGTCGAAAATAGAAGGAAATTTTTGGAACAAGTACTGCTACAGCAGAGGTATGGGAACACTTTCATCTCAAGCTTAAGAAAAGAGGCTTAATAGGGATTAGTCAAAGATTTTAATTTCCAAGCCTTGAAACTTTGGGGACAAGGAGGATGGCTAATTGGTTCATTTCTGACAAGAGATTGGTTAGGTATTGTATGCTAGAGAAGTTGCTATACAGTAGATCATCTACTCTCCTACTGTTTGCTGAAGTAAAGAATGCTTGTGTTCTTTCACAGATGAGGTGAGAGGCTTCTATCACCTGCTTCAGTAGGCATGTGGAGGTGTAAGGGTTCCACTAGAAAACAGAAGTTTTAGGAAAACTGAGAAAAGAGTCATAAGCAGCCAGTAAAGAATATGCTTTCACCAAATTCAAGGGAAACACAAATAAGACCCTCAGCAATTAAAAACTATTAAGGCTGAAACTTATTTCCGATCCCCATTATTTTGTCACATATTATTTTCTTAGCCCTTATCTTCTAACATACTATATAGTTTATATGTTAAACCAAAAAAAGAAAGAAAGAAAAACAGTTGATATTAAGTCAATTTTGATTCATAGTAACTCCAGGTGTGTCAGAGTAGACTCATAGAGCATGTAAAAATAAGCCTTTTTCAGAAGTATATTACCAGACGTTTTCTCTGTGGTATCTATGGGTGAACTCAAATTACAACCATTCAGTTAGAAGCTGAACTCTTAACCATTTGCACCACTCAGGGACTTCTTTTTACATATTATCCTTATTTGCTATCTAGATTGTAAACACCATAGTGGCTCACCAATGTATCCGAAGTACTAGAACAGTATTTGGATCTTATTTGTTGTTGTTGTTAGCTTTCATAGAGTAATGCTTGACTTCATGGCAGTGCCAAGAATAACAGAAGGAAATGATTCCTGCTCCTGTACCACCTCCATGATTGGTTGTGGATAACACCTTTGTGTTCAATAAGGTTTTCATTAGCTAATTTTAAGAAGTAGATTGCCAGGCCTTTCTTCCTAGCCTATCTTAGTCTGGATACTCTGCTGAAATCTGATCAACATTCATAGCAAAATGAAAGCCCCCAATGACAACGTGTCATGGCTGTGCATGAGGTACATTGGCTGGGAATGGAACAGGGTCTCTCACAGGTAGGACAAGAATTCTGCTATTGAACCTCATTGCCCTTCAGTAAATTATCATGAGAACTAAAGAAACATTTACTGAATTTGAATATCAATTTAACTGGAATCTCTGAAGAGCAATGAAACAACCCATGAATGTAAACATTTAACACTTTCCATGCCCAGAGAGCCCCAGAATAAGAGCATCTCAACTAATGTAGTCAATTAAGACTTCTTCTGCTCTTACCTACCCTTTCTATCACTCCCATGTACTGTTCTGGGGAAGCCATAGGGAAACTAGTAAGTGACCAAGTAGGAATAAAAAGCCAAAAAGAGTTCATAGAGGAGAAGTTGCCTCTTTTCCCATCACAGGCAGTCTGCCCAAGGAACACTTGAACTGAAAAGGAAAGAAACTTTAATTGAAAATAAAATTCAGAGTTTTAGTATTAGAACTATGTTGGACTCAACACATTAAAACCAAGGATGATTTGGAAACTAGAAAATTACTGGAGAAATTTTTATTACTTAAAGTTGACCTGAAATATCATTGAGTCTGCCAAAGGTTTCATCCAAGGAGGAAAAAGAATCAAATGTATCAAGGGCTTTGAATGGACAGTGTTCTGATTACACTCCACAAGCACCATTTATTTCACAGACCAGACATGTTAGCAATTAAAAACACTCATTTTCTTCTCATGTTTCAAAATTCTGACGTTCCTTTAGGAAGACATTTTTGGAACTATTTCTTCTACAGTATCATCAATAGTTCAAGTCCAAGGTCCAGTTTTTAAAGGCCTTGCTTTCAAAAATGTAATAAAGTGCATAGCATATCAGGCACTTTATAGATGTTTTATAAGTGGATGAATGAAAAAATGATAGGATTTCTTGAGATCAAAAAGCTCTAGGAGCACTGAAGTATGTGGGAGTTAAGATCAGGTAAGTAAAATGGGTACATATTCATTTATTTTAGATCTGGTTAAGGTCCAATAGATTTTTGTTTTAATAAATGAATGAATGTTAATATGAATTAATATATAAAAATGGCTACATGTATGTAGATAAGATAAAAACGAGAAAACTCAATTTTGATGTTTTATTTATTCACTTATATTCCATGTCAGTAAAGTAGATTTGAACATTTGTTTCTTTTTATTATTTTTAGGTTCTCCTTGTCTTTGTGCTAAGCATTGGATCTCTTGTAATCTATTTCATCAACTCTACTGAGTAAGTAAAATCTTCAATTCACCCATGTCTGGTATATCATTAAGTGGTTCAGCTAATTTGGATTTTTTTTCTAAGGAATAATGGTTAATATATTTTCACACATACACAGAGAGAGACAAAGAGAGAAAGACAAACTCATTAAGAAAGGATAAGTGCTTAGTTTCCTCGGAAAGCACTAAACAAAACTCCCTAAGAAATGCATGTATTTCCCTGGCATCCAGCTACCCTGAGTTGCTAGAGGATGAAGTGTTTATGCACATATCTACCCACAGTGTGGTACTCCAAGCCTCCAGCTGCTGGCTCCTCACTGGGGCCACTTATGAATGATTTCTATTCCTTTGAATTCCTTAGGTGTTGAAATAGAAGTGCAACAGTAGCTTCAGGGTTTCCCACAGGTTTTAAACAATTTTGGCTGGTCTCCAGAAAGGGAAAATGCTACTCTGAAGGCATTCTTTTCCTATATCCATAGGATAGGACAATTTCCTGGCCACAACCCAACCTAATCCTATCTCCATGCCAACCCTCTAGAAATCATATTGGATTTCCAGCTAAAATAAAATTGGCATTAAAAAAAAAAAAAAAAAACTTCACTGCCATCGAGTCAGATCCAACTCATAGCAACACCCCTCCTTTCCAAGGTAGTATCACTACAGAAGTAGATTGCCCAACTTTCCTTCTGAGGAGTGGCTGGTGGGTTTGAACCACCAGCCTTCTGGTTAGCAGTCAAATGCCTTAG